AGTGAATGTGTAAACATCTCAGCACTGGCAGGGGTCTCCACACGGCTGCTCCAGCACCCAGGGCTGCATCGGGGTAGGTCCATGCAGCTTCTCCTCAGGGATGTGAGCCTTGCCAGCTGAAGCAGGGAACTGGGTAAGGCAGCTACCTCAGGAGGAACAGGAAATTATAGAGGGAGGGCAGAGGGATGGATGGGAAAAAGAAAGAAAGAAAACCACATTTATGGGATGTCTCACGGGGTATTATTACTGATTTCCTTTGTTGAGATGGGCTGTGTAACTATATAGAATATGCTTCCTTCAAAACAAAACAAAACAATTCCTCCAGATTTGTTACTCCGCAGATCTAAATATTAGTCTGAGTGGCTAAAAAAAAAGGAGGGAAGGTACCATTGAAATGGACTCGGGGTCTTTAGTGACATACAAGTTCATTCCAAACGTGGACACGTACGCAAAGATGACATCGGATGGCCAGCAAACATACTCATGACCGCTAACCCTCGAGGGATGCGAAGCAAAGCAACGATGAGACACCACCTTACCTGGACAATGAGAGCAGCCACGTTAATCAAAACCAAACCAAACCACAAGGTAAATGCTGGAGAGGTTGTGGAGAGATTGGAACCCTCATACACTGCTGTTGGGACTTTAAATATGAACACCCACCATGCAAAGCAATGTGGTGCTGCGTCAAACCACAGGGAACAGAAGTTCCCTGTGACCCGGCAATCCCTCCGCTGGCTGTATACGCGCCCTAGAGAAGTAAGTGTCACAGCATGAGCAGACATATGCACACCCGTGTGCATTGCAGCACTGTTCACAACCGCCAGAAGATGGACACAATCTAAATGCCTGTCAGCAGAAGAATAGGTAAAGAAACGTTGGCCCATACACACAGTGGAATACTAATTGCTGAAAAACAATGTCGAAACCGAGGAGCACCGAGTGGACCGGGAGGACACTGCTGAAAGAAACGATCCCATCATGAAAGGACAGATATTGTGTGAGATCGCTGTGAAAAGTGGGGAAGCAAAACAAAGATGGCCATCCCGAGGAGACGGGAATATGAAGCAGTAGATTAGAGGGTTGGCAGGTAATAACTTGGGTGAAGGAGAAATAAAGGGCGGGGGCGGGGTAGGATAAACTATTGGGGTGTTTGATTGTAGTTCAAACTGTTGAATACCAAATTGGCCATCGGGAATGTCAACTCCCACCGAATTCACAATAAATGGTTGGGGAAAAAATAAAGATACTCCATGGCGTGCCCGTGTTTAATTGTACTGTATGCATCACATGGGGGCAGTAAGACTGCCTAGCACGGCTTCATCCAGCTCTCTACATCCCTGTTCTCCTCAGCGTCTGTCTGTCTCTCAGGACCACCCTGGCTCGTGTCAGATCCGCCTTCCTTCAATAGTGTGCCTGGGCTCCTTCTCCAGCCAGTGCGAGGACCTCCTAGTGCAGCAGTCTCCTGGCTTTGACTTTCCTCCCCATTTTTTTCTCAAAAGGGGGGACTTTCCTATTGCTCGCCTCTTGTACCTGATGGCTGCTGTGCTGGAAGGTGCTTTGGTCAAGCAATGGGTTGAAGCATTGGGCTCACAAGGTTGGCAGTTCAAGCCCATCAACTACTCCTTGGGAGAGCGATGACGCTTTCTGCTCTGGTAAAGATTTCAGTGTCAGAAACCTTAACGAGCAGGTCTACGCTGTCCAATAGAGTTGTTATGCGTCAGAATCCACTGGAGGGCGTTGACTTTGGGTTGGGTTTGGCCTGTAGTCCGCCACCTTGCACATCTGAGATTGCACATCTTCTCTCTCGACTACAGTTGGAAACAGTCTTGTCACAGCTCTTGACCTTGCCCTCTGCCTCTCCTCCCTTCCATTCCACTGCCATTTCATCCCTGTCAGCTCGGCTCAGGCTATGGGTCGTCTCAGCCAGCCAGAGAGCGAGGCGGCGCAGGAGGACGGCCCTGGGTTAGGGTGGTGTGGCTGCCTCCACATCTCCATCCAGGGCGAGACGTCTTTGCCCATTGCCCGGCAGGCCTCACTCTACAGACAGTGCCACACACCGGAAGTTGATCCTGCCGCTGGCTCGGTGTTCGAAGTCAAAGAAGATCCGAATCTTACCAATGGCCAGCTGTGATCCGGAGAGCCAGCACACGACCGTGATGAAGGTAGGCTCCCGCCAAGAGTTTCGGGGTTGAGCCCCGTGCTTTCCGGAACACCAATTCCCCCTTGTTTATTGCTGCTGCCGTTTTATTTCTTTGTAGCCCTCAGGGAGCCAGCCTAATCTTCTAAACATGTGATTAACCATACAATGCCAGCGGTTACGGGTGAGATCGACCAAACAGGTGAACGAGGGCTCTCCCCACAGGTGGCCAGGTTTCAGAGGGAAATAGAGGCGTGTTTTGAAACTTTACAACACATAGGTTTATGTTCCCAACCCACCCGCTGCCATCGAATCGATTCCAACTCAGCGATCCCAGGAGGGGTTTCCAAAGCTGTAACTCTTTACAGGAGCAGACAGCCTCGTCTTTCTGCCACCGATTGGCTGGTGGTTTTGAACCACCAACCTTGCAGTCCTTAGTCCAACACTGATCCGGCAGTGCCCCCAGGGCTCCTTTAAATAAGTTTGTGTTTGAGACATAGCTGTTATAATGGAGTTTGGCCAGATAGGAACATCCCTAACTTGTCAGGCACTGTCCCTGCCTGGTGAATGCTGACATGCAAGTGCCAAGCAGCTATGAGGGAATAGGGGCTCACCGGTGGGGCTCCCTGTCCTCTGTGGTCAGGAGCCAGGGGGCCCTGGGCAGGAGTATTGGGGAACCACAGTAGTTTGGTGGAGCCTCGGGGATCGGGGTGTGTGGTTCAGGGGTGACTGGAAACGATGGCCCAGAAAGTAAGTTCAGGCTCTTGCTAGGCCTGGGGAAGGTGTCTCCGGGTGGTGGTTTGTGCCTGGACTCTTGTCAGCAGAGAGGAGGGTGTGGCTCCCAAGGACCTGCCTGGGCCCGTTTGGGTTGGGTTGGGTTGGTGGTATGTGCGAGGCCACAAGATGTAAGGGCGGCCCAGCAGTCCCTGTGGTGACAGAGGTGGGCTATGGGGACAATGGTTCTCGGAAGACATTCGGAATGGGTGAGGTGACTGGGCTACACTGCTGTTTTATGTAGAAAAATAGGTTCTCAGAGACATAAAATTCATGGCTTTCTGTTTTATAGTTTATTTAGGGATGCTGGTGGAGTAGTGGGTTGTGTTGGGCTGGTAACTGCAATTTTGTCTGTTCAAACCCACCAGATGCTCCTCAGGAGAAAGATGAGGCTTTCTTCTCCTATAAAGATTTACAGCCTTGACACCCCCAGGGGGCCGCTTTATCCTGCCCTATAGGGTCAAGATGAGTCAAATGGACTCAATGACAATGAGGGTTTTTGTTTTTCCTTTTGAATTTTATAGTTTGTCTCTTCCCAGAAAGAAGACCGTCTGAGGGCATCCAGACACGGGGAATCCCAGACAGCCCCGGCTCGGGAGAAGCAGGGCCTCCCGGGGCCCAGTACCTCCTATGGGGGCGCTGAGAGTGATCGTGATGAGGAGGAGGGCAGAGGCGAAGAGGCCAGCAGCTTGGCTACCATTGAAAGCCGTCACCACGGGGGCCTCCGAGGTGAGTCCGTGTGGGAGGAACATCGCATCATTTCAGGGTTGCACCGTTGACCCCCGCTGTCTTTGCCTGCGAGTTGATCCGACTCAGGGTGACGAGTCTCCCTCAGACTTGTCAGCCTGGTCTTGTTCGCGCTTTGGAGTTTGTTCCCTGTGTGTTCCCACTCTGTCCTGGAGCTCACACTGGCCACAGGGTGGCTGGGCACTATCTAGTTCTTGTGGTCTCAGGCTACTGGAGGCTGGTGTCTGAGTATTCCATTAGTCCTCTGGACTAATTGTTTCCTTGCGTTTTTGATCGTCTTCACTCTTCTAATGACTTACTTTTCCACTGATAAGATCAAAGATCCAGAGACATTTTGTGTTCTTTATCCAAGGGAGACACTATATTATTTATTGCTCATCTTACTGCCATCGTCATTCCCACTCATAGTGAAGGAGAACTGCTTCTGTGTGTTCCCAAGGTTGTAAATCTCTTTTTTCCCTTCAAGTATTTTGAAAAATTATAAATAGTCTTATACTTAAACAGTTCAGTCCATCAAAAAGAGTTGTATAATCATCACCACAATTAGTTCTAGAACATTTTCTTCCCTCTTGTTCTCATTGTTTACGTCCCTATTTCCCTACAACCCCTCCTCTCGTGCTCCTAGTAAGCCACCAATCCATTTACTGTCTCTTTAGCCTCACCTACCCTGGATTTCCGATACTGGAAAACATACCAAAAAATCACCAACAACATTAACAAAATAAACCAGAGGGGAAAAACCTCAATTGAGAAAAAAGCCGGAAATATTAAAACTAGGACAAATTTAAACTGGGCCACAAGGGAAATCAACTGCATTGTGCGTCTGCCGTCACTGAGTTTACGATGCTGGCTAACACGGCCGTACATCTTCTTTTTCAGAAAGTTTTCTTGGCACTTCATCTGCATCTCAGACAGTTCCATAGTTCCACCATATCAAGGAGAGTGGTACGATTTTTATCACAATCAATTTTAGAACATGTCTTTTTCCCGGTACTCAGTTGTTCATGGATTTTTTTCAATGTTGGAAAAAATATACACAACAAAACATTCACCAATTCAACAACTTCTACATGTACAATTCAGTGCCATTGGTGATACTCTGTGTCCATAATTGTTATCCTTCTCCAAACTGTCCCACCGCATTAACATGAACTGAATGCCCCCTAAGCAAAGACTCTTCCTCCTTCACCCCTGGTACCCATAGGTCAAGTTTGGTTTCTTTTTTCGTTTTAGTAGTTTTCTTGATATAATATTCACATATTAACAATCCACAAATTGCTTCTAAAAAGAGTTATAGATACATCATCACAATCAGCTCTGATGTCCCCTTTCCCTCCCGCTTCCCTCTCCTTTCTGATAAACCATTGCACCAGTTACTGTCTCTCTGCATCCACTCCTTCGTGCTGCCTAACCTGGGAGACCTAACAGAAACAACAAAAAATAAAACGAAAGAGAAAGGAGAAAGCAGTAATACATAAAAGATAAAAATAAAGAGTAAGAAAGAAAAAAAACACCAACCATATTTAAAAATCTAGAGAAGACATTTCTTTCTCGAACAACTGAAAAATATTTGAGCATAGAGCACTAGAGCACATTCGGGTTGGGTCAAGAGAGGTCAACCGACCAGTATCGTATTACAGTGAACCCTCGTTTATCGGGTTTAATTGGTTCTAGACCCTACCGTGATAAATGAAATTCCGCGAAGTAGGATTCCTTATTTGTAAATCAAATATTTTCGTAGTTAGAGCATAGAGGACATGAAAAAACACCCTTTAGTCACCATTACACTCGTATTACCCAATTTATTAAACGAAAAAGGGAAAATACAGTAAAACATTTTGGACGTTACAATTATCATTTATTATTTATTATATTATTTATGGCATCAAGCGTGTACAGTATGAGCCAATCAGTGGCAGTAATGACAGAGCATGCGCTGTTACGCAAAAACCGCGATAGAGTGAAGCCGTGGAAGTCGAAGCGCGAAGTGGCGAGGGTTCACTGTATACGGTGGTCCGGCTCCCCATCATCGAGTTGACAATAATTTCTGCTAGTGAAGCTGTTGAAGTCCCTCACCTGGGACTAGAGGGGATCCGCCAGAAGCCTGACCCAGCCACTCTGCAGATGGATTTGGGGCTCCCATTTCTCCCCAGAGCTTTGTACAGATTGGGTGTTCACATTTGGTGGTGGGGGGGTGTTCACAATTTAAGCTCTGATACTGTTCCCTTCATCACATTTGGAGTTTGTTACTGCCATCTTTGGATCACCCAGGCTGGTGTGCTTCTTTCATGTGGGCTTAGCTGGTGCTTGACGTAGATGGCTGCTTGTTTGAATGCATGCCTTAAGAGCCCGGACAATGGAACCCATTATGGAAGCAGAAAGCCTCCTCCTTCTCCTGAGGAGCAGCTGGTGGGCTCAATCTGTCGGCCTTGCCGGATTAGCAGAGTCCACCTCGTACTCCCTGCACCACCTTACTCCTCTGACTGCCGAGGCCGCCGGGCTACTCACCAGCCAACATTCTCTGAGCACGTAGATGCTCCCCTCGGGGTGCTGGTGAGGCAGATAAGAGTAAACATTGCAGTGACGTTAGTGGTCGATGGTTTCAAACATTGCCCGCTTATGTGTGTGTGGGGGTATTCAAAATGTCTGTGGCAAAACCCCACTGTCTTTTAATTCCTCGTTGGCACAGTGGTTAAGCGCTTGGCTAACTGAAAGGTTAGTGGTTCGAAAGTAGAAACTAGCCATGTGCTCCCCTAAAGATTACAGCCCGGAATCCCCAGGGGGACGTTCTGCTCTGTCGCATGGGGTTATCAGTTGCATGTCTACTTGCTGGAACATGGAAAGTAACTCTCCCCCAACTCTGTCCCTTCCCGGGGCCACAAGCTGAAGCGAGGCTCCTTCACTATCAGCTTAGAACTGCCGCACTTCAGATAAAATGTCCAGAAATGCTCGATATAGAATCTTACATTTTACCTCTTGTATCTGTTCAGAAGGCGAACCTTCCAGAAAGAAGAGAGTATCAGGAGATGCAGAGAGGGAAGAGAAGTGAAGTACAAACGCGCACTTGCTGTGTCTATCGCAGTCAACAGTTTCACAGCAGCGGACGGCAGCCGCTGGTCTTAATTCGATGGCGGCCTGGGCTGTGTTTGTTGCTGCCGCCAGGTGCCATCTGGTCGGTTCCCACTCAGAGCCTGTGTCTAACAGAGTGCCACACTGCCCGCTCCTGTCACCTCCCAAGCGGGTTAGGTTTGAGCCCACGGTTGCAGTCACTGTATCAATCTGTTTCATTCTGGGTCTTTCTCTTTTATAGTTCTCCTAGCAAGCATAATGTGCTTCTTCAGGGACTGGTCTCTGAGTATGTGAGGCCAACTCTCAGCATCCTCGCTCCTAACAAGGCCGGACTTCTTCCAGACAGGTTTGCTCTTGCAGTCCATCGCCTAGTTAATGTTCTTTTCCAGCTCAAAGGCATCAGTTTTGTTGCCTTCTGTGTCCATTGTCCAGCGTCCACGCGAGGCATACGAGGCAACTGAAAATACCAGGGCTTGGAGCAGGGGAAGCTTAGCCCTCAAAGCGTCACCTGAGTTAACCCATTTAGGAGGGCTTGTGTAGAAACAACCGATGCAATAGGTTGTTTGATCTGGACGCTGCTTTCACGAGGGCTGATGAGTTGAGCTGCTTTTGTGTCATTCGAGTTGTGAATAAAAAATGTTGAAACGCAAGCCTGTGACTTTAGAAAATTCCTTTGTCCCCCGAACAGGAAGTTTGGGTAAGTGTTGACTTGGGCCTGAGGTTTGAGAGAGTTTCTGCGGCCCTGCCCCCTCCCTTCCTTTCTCTCTCCTGGGGCAGTGGTTCTGTCTGGATCTGGGGATGCACATTTCTGGCCCTCCGCCCCGACAGACCATGGAGCAATGCTGAACATCAGATAGACTCGCCTCTGGTGACTGTGCACTTGCCGGTGGCTGCCAATTCCACCACTCAGGGTCTCCAAGACCAGGGGTGACTCCGAGCCGAGCATTTTTAACTCGACTGCGACGAGGGTTGGCTCTCCACAGTCAGTCCCGGGACCCAAGCCCACTCTGGGGAGCTGGGAGTTCCCAGAGCAGCTCATCTCACCCAGAGCCGAGTCTGACTTTTAGACACGCTGTAGGACAGGGCAGGGCTGCCAGCGATCTACTGATCTCGGTGGGAACAGACAACTTTTTCTTTCTCCCTCAAAGCGGCCGGTGGGTTTGAACCGCCAGCCTCTGGGTGAGCAGCCCAGTGCTTAAGCCGTTATGCCACAAGGGCTCCTTTCTGACTCTCCAAAGGGGATCATATCCAGGCATCCTCAGCTGTGAGTGAAAAGCGCAGAAGCCATCCTCGGTAGTCCACCGTCACAAGCTTTAAGAGGAATTTCTTTTATTTCCCAAAGGTGAGAGAACTCGGATAATTTTAAATTCACCCTAATCTGAAGTTTCCTCAATCTATTACACGGTTCACTGACTTTCTTTCTGGTGACAGCGGTGACTGACATGAGAAGTCTTGGCCCTACTATACATCGTCCTTGGATATTAGCAATATTGGCTCCCACCAGGCCCAGAATACCCGGGGGCACTGTTTCTTGGCCTTTGTCACCTGGATTCAATTCCAGGGACAGACAAGACTGGTACTGACATTGTTAGATTGAACTATAAGAGGTTAGGGAGAAAGACGAAGCTTTCTACTCCCGTAAAGAGCTCACCGTCTCGGGAACCCCCGGGGGTGGTTCTACCCTGTTCTACAGGGTTGCTATGAGTGGGAATCGACTTCAGGGCAGTGAGCTTTGCATTTTGTTGACAATTTCATTGATTTCGGGAAATGAGAGGGAGACCCTCAGGAGATGGACTGGCGCAATGGTTGGAACAATGGGCGCAATCCAGAATGACTGACAGGACGGATCAGGACCGGCAGCACTTTGTGGTGTTGTACTTAGGTTGCTATGCGTAGGAACTGACTGTGGCCCCTAACAACAGTCGTAGAAGAGGTATGTAAAGACTGACCTTTATTGACGAACACAGAAACTAAAGACATTGTGTGGCTTTCCAAAAAGCCCTTGTCTATGGGTTACGGAGCTTTGGTGCTCGAGTATTGGCCTGCTAACCAAAAGATCTGTGTTCGAATGCACCAGGTATCCCAAGACAAAGACGTGACTGCTTCCTTAGAGATGTACAACCTTGAAAGTCCCACGGGGCACTCCGACTACTGGCTTTGTGGTGGGCCTGAAGTTTGACGATGTAATACACTAAACTCTCCTCTGCTCATCTTTGTTGGGAGTGGGCATCTATTCAAAGACAAAACTCACAGGTTGCTTTAGACCTGCGTCTCCCAAAGGGGGGTGCAAAAGCAGACAGCTACACTTTACTCTAGGTTATGGTACAAAAGATCTGAATTGCTGGGGTGTTTTTTTGGGGTTAAAGGAGACAGTAGGCCAAGTAAGTTTGGGCACCCATGCTCAAGGCATCTTAAAAGCCTGTGACAACTTTGTGTTTACGACCACGTAAACAAAACATGGCCGGCAGTGTGTCTTCGTGCTCCGATCTGTTCTTATCTAGCCACTACAGCAGGTGACCTGAGTAAAATTCTTCATATTAATAGAAGCTTTCTAAAATACTGCTATGGGTTGATTTGTTTCCCCCAAAATTTATGTTTACGTCCCAGCTCCCCTGAACGTGGGAGAATGTGAGTTTATTTGGGAATCAAATCTCAGCAGATGTAGTTAACATGAGATCACACTGGAGAAGTGGGTGGGTCCTAACCCAAAGTATCTAGTGTCCTTATCAAGAGGCGATACAGGGAGACACAGAGGGGAGATGGGGGCACAGACTGCAGTTGTATCATCACAAGACAACGTCTGGCTGCCTAAAGTTGGGAGAGACAAGGCAGGGCCTTCCCCTTGGGCCCAGCCCTGCCAGACACCTGGAATTCAGAGTTCTGGCCTTGGCGCTGAATGAGACTATGTCTCTGCTGTTTCAAGCCACTTGGCTGGTGCCACTTTGTTTCAGCCACCTCGGGAGACGGACACGCTTGGTAATGGTACAAGTGATCACCCAGCAGTGTCTTTTCGATGCAACCCCCAAAGTGGGCCCCTTCACATCATCAGACTGGAGTTTGAACATGAAGAAAAGTTACTGTTTTATTTCGACAATTCTCCGATCTGCTCAGCTTTTATCGAGGCCACCTCAAAGGGCAGAACTGTACCGCACAAACAGCATCTGACCTCAGCACGGACAGCCCAGGAGAAGAGTATACCTAGGAGTTTTTACCTGTCTCATCTTTCTCCGAGATGAAATATCTAGAGCCACCAATGATCGGTGAGAGCCGAAGGAGTGGACAGCTCTGTACAGACCTCCTGCCCCTCCCTGACAGGAGCCTGGGCGTTCGCTGTGACACCCATGTGCTCTGTGCTCCCCAGCGCCGTGTTTTCTGTCAGTGTATTTCAAGGTGACTACTACTGAGGGGCAAAGTCGGCCGGCATTGAACTTGCAGAGGATGCATGCGGCGACGACAGGCTTCAGAGAAAGTGCTTGCTCTGCGGGGAGGGAAAAGCGAGGCATCTGTGTCAACAGCGCCACACACGAGAGCGACTAGGAGATCCCACGGTGTTTCCTCTGATGAAAGGGGCGGCCACGGGTACGTACAGTGCACAGTATGTAAAGGACAGGTTAACAGTTCATCAACACATTTTTTTCTTTGATAACTTTTATTGTATCACAGAATCTTCTTTTCAGATGAAAGCACATCAGATACGAGGCTCGTGAGAAACATTTTACAGTGTTCTATTTACACGCCACTTTCCCAGAGTACACTGATCACACAGAGCAAGCCCTCTCTCACTCAAAGAATTTGTCACTGCGGCACACGCCGGTGCTGCTCTGGGAATCTAACCATCTGCAGACTTGCTTAACACAAAATGTCCATTTGGTCTTTTAAACAACGGGTACTCTCAGGAGACGTGTTTCACTTTGGCTGTAGAACTTCTAGCAGACATTAGTTACAAGTACAGAGCACCAAAATCCATTTAGCCCCTATTAGCCAATAAGATCGGATCTTGAGTACATACAATTTCATCAAGACATATTGGAAAGGAAATCACAACTTTAGACAAATTTGAATGTAAAATATTAGAAAACGGGTCATTAAAAAAAGCCTTTAAAAAACAGCAGTTAAAATGCAAAGGACAGTCTTTTAGATAAATCAGTTAACGTTTAAGTTGATTGAACTACAAAGTTTCAGGTCTTAGAAAATCTTTGGTTTAAGAATTAAGACTATTTCAAAAACAGACTATGTATTCTCCAGTAAAATTTCAGAGCAATATAGAAATACAGAAAGTTCCTGTTAGGTCAAGAGGTGCCAGATTTTTAAAGGTCAAAGTAAACACTACTTTCTGGATACATAATTACAATTCTTGAACGATTTTCTACAATTGGATCAATGTTCATCTTGACGGTTACTTATGAAGAAATGTTTTCATCAGTTATATAACACTTAACTTCTTCATACGGGGGAAAAAAAGATATTTGCCATAAATACGATACAAAACTACCTACCTAAAAAAAAATACAATAAAAAGTACTGAGAAGAAGACATACTGTATTATCCATTTCATGAGCTAGGAAGCAAGGAAGCCTTGTTGAATGTCTAAGTGATCAGCTCTTTCTCAGACACCTGCTCCACAGCTGACTTTCAACGCTCCTGTGTAATTTCAAAAATCAAGTACAAGTCAAAACGTACATTTGAGGGGAAAGAAAGGTAGAGAAAAAGCCTTGATAACTTGGGGGGTAGCGGTGGCTTGTAACTAAGACTTAACAGCAAAAATGTTCATCTTTGGCCCCTTTTAAACACTGGATAGTGATTCCAAACACACACGCCACATTTCTGAGCAGGGAAGCATCGCTCGCTAAGGTTTACTGCCCGAGAGTACAAGAAGCTGCCTTGCTCAGTTGATCAACTGTCCAGCCCAAGCTAGAATAGCAGACGTTTGGTAATTTAACTTTAGAAAGTTAAAATAATTAACTACCATCCTCCCCTACCTGCCAGATGCTCTAAGAAGCCTCTCTCTGTAACGATCCAGCCGGGCCTGTATTTGAGGCCAGCATCAGATTCCTTCTCCTCCCCTCCCAGCTGTCCTTGGCTGCGGCCGCTGGTCCCACGGCCACACGGAGGTGAGGGGGAGACGTGTCCTACTCCTGCTGATGGGGTACCTCCAGCTCCCCCAGCTGACTTTCCCCCCACTGCACCCAGCTGAATTTTTCACCTCAATACACTGAACAACAGGAAAACCACTTTCGTATGAGGATTTACTTTTACACAATATGAATTTTTAAAAAAATACAAGAGGGAAAGAAACATCTTAAAAGTTCAATTTATAAAGAAAGCTGTTTTGTTTTCTAGTTGGAAAATTTGTAGTGGTGATTAAATACTGTTTATCCAGCAGTAAGCACTTTATACACACATTAGTTTCTAATCTACTCAAAGTAACTATCCACTTAAATGACCGTTTTCAAAGCTTCTAAGAAAACCCTATCATGTTTATTATCTTTGTTTTCTATATTTAACAGTAGCTTTTTTTTTTTTACACTTAAAAAAATCCAAAAACCAAAAACTGACTGTAGGCTTTTTTTCAGGAAAGAAAATAGCTTTTCTACTCAGACACTTTTTTCTATTAGCTTCCATAAGGAATTAATAGCACCCACATTATCAAAGTGAAAAACTGGCATGATCTTAACACACCTGCACTTCTAAACAAAGCACGCAACCTGGCAGAACGGAAGGACCCAGTTAGAACTGGCTTAAACAAGAACAACAGACCGATCCTAGGTGCTGTGATGCCCCAGACTGGTACAGTGGAGGGCTGGGTGGAGAACTCGCTCTAGAACCTGATGTTGCTCTTACAGGTGACTGTATCTGACGCCATCGGCTTCAAGATGCTGGCAGCATTCTGCTCTCCTGACACAAGGAAAAGAACAGCCCTGCCCGGTCCACGTAGGGTTAAAAAAAATGTTAACGTCTCCAGGTCATCGATAAAAGCTTGTAGTCGCCCCACACCTACCAGGGGAACCAGAAGTCTCAGTACCACCAGTATCTCTTTCGGATTTAAAAAGGATCAGTCTTCAAAATGTTGACATTCTTCTACAGAAACGACTTCTGACACTTCCCCCCTTACAACTGTAAAAGTTAAACTAAAATGGATTCTAGCAGAGAATGGAAATAACTTCAAAATACAGAGGAAGATCACCTACTTTACACTTGACTATTTGAAACTGGTAGCAACTAGAACAAAGATACATATGGTTTTATTTTAAGAGAAAGAGAGGGAGAGAGATTTCCAGTCTTTTCCCTTCCACCCAGGAACACTTGACATCTGTGATCCCCAACGAGAGCCCGGAGGGATGACATCCTGGCCGCTTACTGGTGGTCTCCTTCAACTCGTCTCTTGCGAACTATGAGGAAAAGTTGAGAAAGAGCATGAGAAATCTGTTGGTTTTGACAATGACTACCTTGCCCTGGTGGCTGGCACGGTAGTTACACTGCCAGCAGCAAGTCAGGAGGAAGACGGGGCTTTCTACTGCTGAAACAGTTACAGTCTTGGAAATCACGGGGGTGCTGTGAACCAGCACTGACTCCCACAACAGTGAGGTTTGTTTTGTCTTAACTTGCTGGTAACAAGCAAGTTTCTGAACAACCCAGTTAAAATTATAAGAAAATGAAAGGTCCATTTCTAGGACACATGACCATTAAAATAAAAATTTTTAAATTCCATACAAAAACCGCACGATTGAACATTATAATTCACATGTGGCTTCAAAGGAGAACTATATTATCATTAGATCACAGATTGATATATGTGCTTATAAACAGGCAACATTAGAAATCTAAGCAACAGGCTAATTCTCTTTTAGTCATTGTGCCAATTTTTCTTATTAAAAAAGATAAATACGTGACTGTGTCAAATTAAAAGGACGTGCAATTCGGTGGGGATGAGAAAGTATTAAAACTGACCATCCGCATGCTCTTCGGATGAGACACTGGCATGGGTTTCCCCGTCTACCAAAGAACATGCCCCAAACACTTTGTCATTCTGTTTACAGCGAAGGGATTTGCTGCTGCCGCCCAAGCTTCCTTCTCCCGCCTCCTACAGAACTGGGTCAGGGCTCGGACAAAACGACCCTGCAAAGTCACGAACATCTCAGACTGGACGCCGGGAAGTGTGGCAAACCCATTTCTGCAATGACACACCTGCGTCAGTGATGTGGACAGTCGACTGAGCTCGGCTGAAGGAGAGAGACAGGTGCATGCGTATGTCTAAGGACCCAACCCCCCTCTCACCTCTCCACGGACTGCTGCCCCTCCACCGCCAGGCTGTGCTCACTAGTGAGCGTGCAAGGCTCTCAGCTTCGGGTCTTGCTACCTACACTCGCATGGACACGCACGTCTATGTATATTCAACGTACATATATGGCCACTGCCATCTAGGGGATGTAGACTCATAGGGGATCCTATATAGGGTTTCCGAGGCTGTGAATCTTTGTGGGAGCTAATGGTTTTTATTCTTTTGTGGAGTTGCTGGTAGGCTTGAACTGCCAACCTTACAGGCAACAGCCTAACATCTACCTGATAGTGCCCCCAAGGCTCCCTGTACACACACACACACACACACAATGTGTGTGTATATGTATATATAAGAACCAACAGTCCCCTACGAATCTTATTCAAATGTAGGCTCGGGTTCCATACAGCTGGAGTGGAATGGCAGATTCTCAGCAGTGAGTCAATCAGAATGAACCAGTGCCAAGCCCTTTGTGAAATGAAAAGCCAACAGGTCCACAGGGCCTCCTCATCAGGCCTGCATGCCCTGCCCTCCTGCTGTCCGGAGCAGCGTCTGTCTGCTGGCCCTCAGCAGGACGAGGCTGGGGGTGTCGGTGGCATGCACGAACACTTCTCCAAACGCTGACTGGGTGCCAGCTAGGAAAATAAGCATTCACAACCCGGAGCACGAGAATATCCAGTTCTCATGAGCAATTTCATCAAGTCCACCCCCAACTCTAATTTTAGCCATTTTACCACAGGCCAAGTGGCAGATGTTTACTGAAATCCTGTGGGAAAAACCAAATGGAGACCACAAATAAAAATGCAACTTGTGTATACAAATGTATGAAAAACCAGATAGCTTAAAGGCAACATTTAAATACTTCCTTAGGTTGGAAGGCTTCAAAGAACATTCTGGGTCGCAGACAAGTTTGGATGTTATTGGCAGACCACTCCACATGTTATATATTGTTATATGAACACAGGTTATGAACATCATCTATCAGCCAGAGTGCAAAACACAAAGAAGGTGCAGACCAGTGTTTATGGAGTTAGCGAGTGTGAGGCTCCAAGTTCAAAGACACATCGCATGTGTACATACAACCTCTCTGCTGTGGTCACGGTGATGCAGCTCAGCTGGAGAGATGCATAGCAACGCAGAGTTATTTCAACCAACAGCTGAGAGTAAGAACACGAGAGAAGGAAAGGCATTTCAGAACCAGAGCACTAAAGACTGGATGCAGTCCCCTTGTATGGTGAAGAAACCTGATGCCCAATGAGTCTGGACAAGGTTCAAGTGTTGTTTACCGATATCATCTGAGTTCCTACAGTCAAGCTGTTGAAACTAGAGTGGAGGAGTATGCGGTCCTCAGCTTACCATCCGCATCTAAGGGCACGACGAGAAAGTGGGGCTGGGGGGAAAAAAAATCCACCTGCGAGTGGATGGTGACCTGCTGCTGCTACTATGAGAAAGGCGCAGCAGAGAGAGATGGGGGCCAACGTTGCCCTGTATCGTTGAAACCTTTGTTTTATGAGTGCCGGGACAAACGGAACTAAGAACAAAAAGGATTCCTTTTTAAAGGAAATCTTTGTTCGTCTGCTTGCTGCAGAAGAATTTTAAAGTTGGATAATACGTGTCACAGGAAGCCATGTCATGTCACCCACTCACCTGATGATCACTTACTTCCCTTTTCATTTCGTCAGTATGGGAAGGACTAGAAGATCTAACGTTAGGTAGTATAAAGTGGACCAAGTGGATTTTCATAACACGAGCTACATCATTTCTCTCTGCTGAAGTGTGAAAGAAGTTCTCCCAATGCATTAGCCTAATAATCTAGCTCAGGATCTCCATTTGATGCTGTATCTTACCTAAGTCATTGTTTTTGGTTATAGCATTAGCTGCCCTGGTTCGAGGTCCCTGCTGTGTAAACTGATATCCAAATTTCAGGATATTTGTATTTTCCTCAAGCATCTTGGCCATTTCCAGCTCCACAGCTGTCCCCAACTGCTGTCTCTGGAATAATTAGAAATAAAAAGTATTAGTACATTAGATCAAACCACTTTTCAAGGAAAGACTAAGACATTCAGCCACAGGATGCTTCTGTTGGTCATTAAAATTTCCCAGTTCTTCCTAATGTACATAAAACACACAAATTCGAAACGTTCAGTACATGCTTATAATGAGAAAAGGCACCATACCCACTAGGTACTAGAGAACAGAGAGACAGTGACCAGTGCAGGCTAAGGGGCGATAGACTGGCCCCTCCCACACGGCTGGTGGGAACAGTAAACGGTTCAGCCACTGCAAGAGGGCAGCAGTTACTGTATGACCCAGCAATTCCGTTAGGTGGCATTCTGATGCAATTTTGAGATGTGATCTTCCTACCTATGCAGGCTATAAAATTTGCTGACTTCAAAGGATTGAGGGATGCATTCACTAAATGTTTTTCCAATAACTGAAGAGCTTCAGTCAAATGTTGTTTTATTTTCATTGAAATCCACTTTAGATGGAAATGTTTCTGAAATACTTGTTTCTTGGTCACTTTAAAACTTCCCCTGGCAGTGGGCCAGCACAATCCTGGTGGCTGGCAGCAGAGTGCTGGGCGGACAGAAGCCCGCCTGGCACCCTCAGGATACCTTGGCTACTGGGGTTTCCCTGCTTTCCCTCAGCAGTCAGCCTCTTTAGGCTACTCATCTGCTGTGTGTTTGGGACTGTGACATGCTACCACGGGGGTCTTGCCATGAAAGAGCTGCAAATTAAGATGGGTTGAGTCACGTCTAAAAGTCCTTCAAGTTCAAAATCGCCAGTTGTCTATATTCTCTTAAAATTACTTCGAGAAAATGGCTTTGTCTACATCTATATATATATATATATATATAAACATTCCAGATGCCCCAATGTCTCCATCCCCTTTTGGCACTTTATCTTGCCATGAAAGCCCCCAGCCCCTTGCCCCCTGGGTCTCTAAGCCCTAAGGCGGCGGCAGCGGGGTCTGTCGCTCCCTCAATGTGACTGCTGCAGAGCACTGACCTGGTTGTCAATCTTGAGCTCTGCCAGGGTTTCATTATCTTTCAAGGCATCAAGTAGTGCAAGAATCCCAACTCCTGTGATAAAGTTGGACTCCACGTTTAAACTCTTCAAAGCTGTGTTCACTTTCAGCATATCTGCAAAAGCCTAGAAATTGAACAAAGTATTTCAAAATTAAGATTTCATAGCACCCATTTAATTACACAGTATGAACCAAAACCTCACTCACTGCCATCGAGTCAGTGCTGACTCAGAGCAACCCTCTGTGGGCCTCGGAGACTGTAGTTACTGGGGCAGAAAGCCCAGGCTTTTTGCGAGGAGCTGCTGGTGGTTCTGAATGACATAGTATTCAGACTATGAAGCACGAACAGGCTGTCTGTCTTGCTGAAGACCTCCCGGGTAGCATCAAAACACGGTCAGGTACTGAAACCCTCGAGAATGACGCGGAACGCTGTCAGCGCCAGCGCCAGAAGAGGAGCCCTTCAGATCAGCAGGCACTCAAAACATGGCTGAGGAAGAGCTGCCGCTTCAGAGCAGAGTTGGCCATAATGACGTGAACAGAGTACAGCCTGTGGAGCAAAGCCTTAGGGACCCCCAACTGCTGATGTGGCATGAGTCAAAGGGAGAAGAAACAGCTGGAATGTACAAAGTATGCTTCCAGGAAAACCGCAAGTGTCGAACATAAAATGAAAGGCATAGAGATCGATATACTAGACATTCGCTAGCTGAAATGGACTAATATTGGCCATTTTGAATCAGAAAATCATATGCTTTACTAAGCGAGGAATAACACCATCAAGAGGAAGGGCAATCACTTGTAAGACAATTGGATAATCCCTCACAGAAGGGCCACACAGAAGGGTAGATATAACTAGGGTGCAGTACAGCACTGATGAAATACATAACTATCCTCTAGTTCTTTAATATTTCCTCTCCTTACCATTATGGCATTTGTTTTACCTCATTAACCTTATTAAAAATGCATAGGTCCATTTGTATAATTAAGATCATTCGATGAATGAAAGCCAAGATAGATAACCCTATAGAAACAGTATCGGGAGTAATGATTCCCTGAGGGTGTGGGAAGAGAGGTGGGGTCAGGGTGGGAAGGGGGGGAACTACAAGAAAGGGTTAGCAATGATGACTGTATAACCCCACTCAAGGGAAACGAATAGCAGAATTGCAGGTGTACTGATACATTGGATGACATAAGATACAGCAAAAAAATTTAATCATAACAATAATAATATATAAGGGTTGTTGGGGGGGGATAAGGCAGGGAAGGGAGGGGATAAAGGGGAATTGATATCAAGGAGTTCAAGAAGAAACAAGACGTTTTGAAACTGATGGTGGCAGCAACTGTACAATTATGCTTGATCTTATTGAATTATGAATTGTTACAGTATCTGTAAGAGCTTCTAATATAGTGATTTAAAAAAGAGGAAGGGCGTTACATTCATCATCAAAAAGGGGATTTCAAGATTTATCTTGAAGTATAATGTTGTCTGTGAGATTATATCTATCTACACTCAAGATCCAACCAATACAAATGTTATTCAAATTTATGCACCATCCAAGGTAGTGATGAATACATTGAAGAATTCTACCAACTATTGCCATCTGAAATTGATCGAACATGCAATCACTATGCATTGATTATTACTGGCGATTAGAATGCAAACGTTGGAAGCAGAAAGAAAGGAATAGCAGTTAGAAAATATGGGCTTGGTGATAGAAATGAAGCTGGAGACTGCATGATAATATTTTGTAAGTCCAGCGACTTGCTATCGCAAATACCTTTTTTCAACACAAATGGTGACTATACACGTGGACATCTTCAGAAATACACAGAAATCAGATGGACGACACCTGTGGGTTGAGATGATGGAGACGCTCGATATCAGCAGCCATGTGCAGTCAGGGGCCGACTGTGGACAGACCATCAATCCCTCATATGTAACCTCAGGTTGAAGCTGAAGAAAACGGAAACAAACCCACGGAGCCAAAAATATGACCTGGAGTTTCTCCTACCTGAATTCTAAAACCAGCTTTGATACATTGAACACGAATGACAAGACCTGATGAGACGTGGGATGACATCAAAAGCAACACTCATGAAGACAACATAAGGTCATTAAACAGAAAGAATGAAAATATCAAAATAGAGTCTTTCAGAAGAGACTGAGACTTGCTCTTAATCGTGGACTAGCCAAGGCAAATGGAAGATCTGATGAAGTCAGAAAACTTCATAGGGCTGAGCTCAAGAAAACCAAGTACATGGTAATGCAATGCGCAAAGACCTAGGGTTAGAAAAACAAAAAGGAAGAACACAGTGTATGTTCCACTGGAAGAACTCAAGACAACCAGATATGCAAGTTGCAATAGTGAAAGACTCTGTGGGCCAAATACTGACTGATACAGGCAGTATCCAAAGAAGACAGAGAACACGGAGTCACTGTACCAACAAGAACTAGTGAACATCCCACCACTGCAGGAGGCAGCATATGACAAAGAGCCAATGGTGCTGAAGGAAGACATTCAAGCATCACTAAAAGCTTTAGCCAAAAACAAGGCATCAAAAATTGATGGGATACCAATGGAATGTTTCAACCAGCTGATGAAGCACTGGAAGCGCTCACTCAAGTAGGCTAGGAAACTTGGAAGACTCCTACTTGCCCAGTCGATTGAAAGAGATCCATATTTGCACCCATTTCAAAGAAAAGTGACCCAACAGAATGCCCAAATTATAAAACAATATCATTAATAATACATGGAAGTAAAATTTTGCTGAAGATCATCCAACAACAGTTGCAGCAGTACATTGACAGCGAGCTGTCCGAGATTCAGACGGTCTGAAGAAGTCATGGAACAAAGGATATTACTGCTGACTTCTGATGGATCTTCTTGGGTGAAAGCGGAAAATACAAGATGTTTATTTATTTGTGTTTTATTGACGATAGTAAAACACTCAACTGTGTGGACTACAGCAAACTATGGACAGCCTTGAGAATAATGGGTATTTCAGAGCACTCAACTGTGCTCCTGGGGAACTTGGACATAGTTCAAGAGGCAGTTCAAGGGAATACTGCATGATTTAAAATCACAGGAATTGTAAATCAGGGTTGTATCCTCTCACCGTACTTATTCAATTTTGTGTGCTGAGCAAATAATTCAAGAAACTGGATCATATGACGATGAATGCTGCATTTAAGATTGGAGGAAGGCTTACTAACAGCCTGCAGAATCCAGATGACACACTCTTGCTTGCTGAAAGTGAGGAGGACTTGCTGATGAAGGATCAAGGATTGAAGCCTGCAGAATGGATTGTAACTCAATGTAAAGGCGACCAAAATCATCATTACTGGACCAATAAGTAACATCATGATAAACAGAGAAAAAATTGAAGTTGTCAAAGATTTTGTCTTGCTTGGATCCACAAGCGATGCCCAGGGAAGCAGCCGTCCAGAGATCAAACGCTGCACTGTGTTGAGCAGATCTGCTGCACGTGACCTCTTTTAAGCGTGAAGAAGCAAAGAGGTTACTTTGAGTACTAATGTGCAGCTGTCCCAATCCACGATGCTCTTAATCCCTTCAAAGGCATGTGAAAGTCTGTCATTGAATAAGGGACCCCGAACAAGAATTGATGCATTTGAATTACAGTGCTGGCAGAGAATACGGAAAGTACTATGGAATGGCAAAAGGACAAACAAATCTGTCTCGGAAGAAGTACAGCCAGAATGCTCCTTTAAAGGTAAGGATGGTGAGACTTTGGCCCATGCATACGTTGCACCTGTTGTCAGGAGAGACCAGCCCTCGGAGGACACCATGCTTGGTAAAGTCGAGGGGCAGCAAAAGAGGAAAACCTTGCACAAGACGGATGGACCCAGTGGCTGCAATGACGGCTCACACATAAGGACACTAGTGAGGGTGGCGCAGGACCGGGCGGCGTTTCCTTCTGCTTTACACAGAGTTGCTACGAGGTGGGACTGGCACCCAACGACAACTTGGCATGGTGCGTTGTTAGGATGCCAGTATCACCAACAGTGGCATACTTACCATAGCAACAGGGTCATTGCTCCGGGTGGCTGCAAGGCTGAAATGTTTCACGTGGGTGTTGGTTTCCAAAGCCTTGGCAAACTCTTTCAGGGTAGGAATTGGGATATTCTTGAAAGACAGTAACAATGGAAAAGAGCTTACATTTTAGTTGACAGGAAAATCAACTCATCCTACTAATGCAAGCTGTTTGTACTGATATACTGAACAATGATATAAGCACACGATCTTTAGACTACGTGTGAAACGGCGTCACTCAGCCTTCTCCATTTCTATTTGACTTTTCTACTGTGATCCATGTGCATAAGTTGTCTGATACCCAGAACAGAGCCCGTATCACCATCTCTCTCGGTTACAGAAATGTTCACCTTCTCCTTTTGAAGATGATGGCAGTGTTATAACAAGTCATCCTGGATGAGTCAAAGAGCATCCACTTTCTACAAGGAGAGAGGAGTTGGATCCCGGCCTCTAGGGAGCATGCTCCCTGAGGCAGACAGCACACAGTTCAGTTCTTGGTCACTAAGTTGAAGCTACACGGTATTACGGATACTTGGTCCTAAAACTAATGAGGAATGATGAGGATGAGTTCTACTAGACACTAATTTCTCCCTTTAATAGCCAAGCCCTTCAATTCCTTGCAGCCTAATCAAGTTACGGTCATTACTACGGACTTAGAGACAGAGCTGCACAGGCTGCTAAGGGGATTCAGAGCGGTTCTTCCCTCACGCACAAGCAGGAACTCGGCTCAGGGAGCACAGAGTTGTGCTCCACGTGGCTCCCTGGGCCTTTTATTCCAGATGGCCTCTTCCAGCTTAGAGAAACCAAGAGACACTGTAACGAACTAATACACAAGGGCCAAACCCAACAGCCAACTTGAGCTTATTCTTCAGCAACTCATGAACCCTATGCCCACCTACCTAATACATAGACTTTGCCCTATTGGTCACCATAAGTCAGAGTCAAGTCCACGGCAGTGGGTTTAAAAAAAGAAAAGTGTTAGTCTACCATTCCAAGAGAACCTGGCCCTTTCTTTACAGAGGCTGAATCAGACTACCGGTGTATCCAAACCGTCCAGCGCTCATCCTGTACTCAATGGGCTCAAAGCAATATAAACCAGCTTTATTGTTGGCTCAGCACACCTACCTTTATGTTATTCAAGTTAACTTCCACAAGGCGAGCGTCATTTTCTTTTATTCTCTTTAAACTCTCTTCAACATTGGTTGGATTTGGTGGTTCATCAAAGACTGGAAGGATCTTTTCACCCTTTACCACATCTACAGTAACACACGGAAAGAGCACAAGTCTCCTTGGTTGACATTACTATAGTGGTATACCATGCTTAGGACCTCATACACGATACAGACCACACATTTATTAGAATTGATTTAAAAATCCCTTTAAGAGCCTTTATGTGCTGACACTTATTTAAACCAAAAACCGAAACCATTGTCATGCGTCAATTCGGACTCACAGCAACCTTATATAGTGCTTCAGTTTCCAAGGCTGTTAACCTTTACCGAAGCAGAGAGCCTCCTCTTGAAACACAGACCTGGAGATCAGTAGGGCTCAACGCTCACCCAAGCGCACCCACAGTACTCATATGAAACCATATTGTGGACACATACCAAACACATTCCAATACTTAATGTGCTGGCAAGGAGTCTGCCTCCAAAAATGTTAACAAACGAACATTTCCCCAGACTCTTGGTGCACTACAAGCATCTTCTTGACTAAAATACATTTTATAACAAGCTGATGATCCTGCTTATTTTTAGCAATAGTCATGATAATGTCTAATATGGTAAAACACAAAACAAACACCAGCACCTTATCATGTTCTCTGAGATTTGACTGGCAATTGTGTAAAGGCGGTAAGAGTCACAGAGCAGCACACATTAAAAGCAGTACGGATTTAAGAACAGGAGCGGGTGAGAGGAAGATGTCTTCATTAACCCTCTCTCTTCTGGAGAGGACTATCCAACAAGGAGAAAAAGGTGGCTCCCACAGAGGACGCAGCAGTAGGGAGTGCGAGAAAGTGGACAGGGAAAAAGCCAGGGAGACAGAGATTCTCCAACTACTATCCTCCATCACGTCCACCTACCAGTTAGTTTCTTTACATATCCAAACACCTACTCAAAACGGTAAGACCCAGAATCCTCGGACCATTTAATCAGATGCAGAGTCCTTGACGCATGCGTGTCCAGCCCTAAGCTCCTCCTGTAGTATCATGCATATGCATTCTGTGGAGAATACCCAGGGTTCCAGATTCTCCCAGAGGCAACTGACACCCCCAAAGGGAAGACTAACTGACATGGAAAGACTGACAAGGTGCTCAGTGGATTGTTACCTGGCTCAGTCCCTCCCTTCTACTTGTGGCTTTTAAGAGCCAAACTCTTCTCGAGGTAATAAGCATTGCTTACCCATCCAATAAATTCCCTCTAGAAGTGTCCGGTTCTCGTCTAGTGTGCCTCATGGAATCAAAAGGTAAGCTAGTTCTTCCTCAATTCTAGTTTATAAAATTGGAAGCGTTTGCTTCCAATTCCATACAATGTGTGTATTTAAAGATGCTTGCTCCCTAATGCAGTAAATGGTTCAGTCGGCAGGCTGCTGAAGCCGTTCCATGACAGGTGTCGGGGAACGTAATCAGTGGATCAGGCTGCCAACACTTATACCCACTGAGTTTGGACACATCACTCAAGGTGGGATGGCCAGATTTAACATGCTTCCTAATGTGGTTCAATCAGCGCACCACCTGTGAAAACAGGCTCTATGTGAAAACATAAGGGAAAAGCAAAATTACAGAGCATCATACAATGGAATGCTATGCAGATGTCTGGATGCGTTAGAGCTCTATAAACATATACAAGAAACATGACATACTGGGCTATGCAACACTGAGACCAGTCACGTAATCATTCAAAAACCTTAGTGTCCTTATATGAAAATTAAAGGTAAGAATGGTAGTTACCTCACAGAACCGCTGTGAGGATTAAATAAAAAAAAACCACGTGAGTTGTTGTGCACAAAACATGAATATGGTAAACAAAGTAAGTAGTCAAAGCTGTTATTGAAAAGGGTAGTTAAAAAATGGTATGACTATTTGAAAAATTAAAGATTATATATATGTATAACATGCATACATACATGTTTACGTAAACATAGTACAATGTCTAACAGGATATATACCAAACAGTTGAGTTAGGGCCAGGAGTGGAAGTGAGTAGAGAGAGAAACAGTTGTGAACAGAGACACTTAGTGTTTGACTTATACATTTCTCTACGCTTTACAATTGTTACACAAACATGTATTACCTTGGTAGTTTTTAAATGCCTTACACAATCATTTTTATTTATTTATTTTTTTGCACAATCATTTTTCAAAAAGCTTACTACTTCACACCTCAGACTAAAAAATTTCGAGGCTGAAGAGTCTTGTGGTGTCTTCTGATCTTATAATAGTTTTTTTTTTCTTTTTTTTGGCCAATCTGAATTTCTTGAAAAAGTAACACTGTTAATAAAATGGCTATGGATTAAATTGTGTGTCCCCCACTCCACCACACAAAATCCATGCTGTGAAACCTAAGTGCTGGGCTGCTAACTGCAGGAGCAGTGGTTCACACCCACCAGCAGCTCCTCTGGAGAAAAATTAGGCTGCCTGCTCCAGCAGTGGGTTTTGTAGCTGTAGTTATAATCACATTTGGGGATGGGCATTCTTCATTATGTAAATGAAGCAGAATTAGTATAAGGTATATCTGAAATCCACTCTTTTGAGACATATGAAAGAAGTTAAACAAGCAAATGAGTAAACAGAGAGGGGAAGAAAGACACCATGCTTCATGATGCTCGTCCCTGAGCAGAAGGTGCAGGGAGACGAGGACTTTCTACCCGTGCTGACACAGCGTGCTCGACCTCCTTGTAGAGGAGCACCCCCAGTTTGAATTCAGACACTTCTGCTCTTTTAAACCACCACTGCTAGGATTTCTATTACAGATCATTTAAATGGCAACAAAACCCAAATTTGACTAGTTCTACATGACTTACCATTTGCAGTATTTAGTGAACTGAGCCCAGCTCTATGACAACTGCTGATTGTTATGGATCAAGTATTTCATATTCTTAATGGCTTTTTACGTGAGCACAAGGAACCTTGGTGGTACCGTGGGCTAGCGCTGGCTGCTAGCCAAAAGGCTGGTGGTTTGAGCCAATCGGATATTCCACCGTGGGAAGAGGAGGCAGCTTGTTTCCATAAGTTGTACACCCTTGGAGACCTTCGGAGCGGTCTGACTCTGTCCACTAGTCTCTGAGTCGGAATCAACTCCACAGTAATGGTTTATGTTACTACCATCAAACTGGAAGTACATACACATAATATTTGGTATGTACGTAGTAAAGGCAATAGCTGGAGAAAACAACATGTCTAATAAAGGATAAAGATTCAGAAAGCATTTTAAATACTCACCTGAAAAATGTTCTTCGTCGACACCATTAGTACTTCCCACTACATTACAGAACTGTGTGTTTGCTATCAAATTGTGCATCCCAAGAATGGCTATAAATATAGAAGAAGAAGAAGAAAACATTTTATTGTTCACAAGAATTGATTTTAACACCAAATATTTGTATTAATGAACTTAATATTCTCTAGATTTTCTTCCTAGTAGATGAAATAAAGACTTTACAACAACAGAAAAAGGGGTTGGGTGGGGATGTAAAGTGATTCAAATAATTTACAATCTCCTGCTCAATGTGTGCCATTATTCCCATTTCTGAATTCAGACACACAGCTGGCAGTCAGCCCAACACTAAGCTTATAGTTATGCTTGGCGCCACCTGGTGGCCAGGAGAGAAAATGGAAATGATCCATTTTTGTTCCCCTTTCTCACAAGGAACATAAGGTTTATAACTTAACTTGTTAAACTTATCATTATCTATATTCATATTCCACCTAGAAGAATACTAAAAATAGGGCTGTTACCATAATTAGATTAAACAGCATACTCTGGAGAAAAAATACAATGGTTTTGTTTCTGTTCACCTGTGCACAACTACGGCAGAGGCTACAGCACGGCCCGCTCAGGCCGAGGTATTGAGAGGCCTGTGGAGAAGAGCAGGCCCGCTCTGGCTGTGACGCACACCTCAACGTGCCCCTTCCCAGGGTGCTCCGCTAAGGGCATCACGGCTGCTCTGAAACACGTTCCTGAAGCTGCTTGGCGCTTCCTACTTGTCTATAGGGCCCAGGGAGGAGAGGGACACTGGCCCAGACAGGACAGCAGCAATGATGCAAATAACAAGGGAGGACGGAGCCCATGCTGGAAAGGTGGCGAGCGTGGCTCAGGAGCGACTGTTGGGCAGTTACCCAGGTCTGCATCTGCTGACAACAGAGCAGTGGCCGAGCCTGGAGACTCTTTCCCAGCTGTGCACTAGCTGATAGAACATTGTTATACAGACTCCCAGATTTCACAGCCACACGTTCTAGCAGCAGAACAATGGCACTATGGGGACAATGTAGAGACATTCAATCTTTTCTATTTTAATATAAAAAACAAAGCCCCAAAGCCCTTTGTTAGCAGAGGGCACATCTGCAAGATGCACACACGTGCGCTCTCAGGAGTCGCTTTGTCTGAGGAGGTACCTGCAAGGTCGCACAATTCTGTATCGGATGCGCTTGTTAAGGCTTCTTCCAATTCTGGATCAAGGGATACTTTTTCTTCTGTAAAAGTCTGTATAGGCTTCTGTTTAGGGATAAATATTTTCCCTGTGAAATAAAGCAAGTTGTTAATCTCACTAAGAAATTATTGCCGCCATTATAACTCATTACCATTTTATCTCTTCGAATGCCAATTATTACAACCATGTGCAGTTGAGCTGAAGGAAGAAGTCAGTAGTTTTGGTCCATCTTCTATATGCATTTAAACGTTTTCAGGGTAACTAATTTGGTTGTACAAGTTGGAAAGAAAAATAGGCTCTTTTGGGGAAATATGAGTAGAAAAATTAACAATGAAAACATTTTTTAAACTTTAAAGAAATAAAAAAACCATTCAATTTCTTATTATTCTTTTAATTGAAAGATTTTTTTTAAAAGATCATTTTATTGGGGACTCTTACAACTCTTGTCACAATCCATACATTGCTTGCCTCTATGTACATGTTGCCCTCATTCTGTTCTAGACACTTACTTTCTATTGAGCCCTTGAGATCAGCCCCCCCCCAACCCCTTGATAGATGGTCCATTGTTATTATTTTCATATCTCACACCGACCGCTCTCTCCCTTCCCCCATGTTTTCTGTTGTTCTTCTCCCTGGAGAGGGGTGTGCCGATCATTGTGATCGGTTCCCCCTTTCTCCTCTGGTATCACTGTTCCCACTCCTGGTCCTGGATTCTCTCTGTTGTGAGCTCCCATCTCTTATCTATACCTGTGAATTCCTTGTTTTTAAAGCAATAAACATGAACCACTGTCACGTAGGGAATGGTAGAAACAATAAGATTCTAGAAACTCGAATTCTAATGATAAGCAAGTCTATATATTATGAGAAACTTCTAAAGATCCTGCGCGGTGTTCTGAAACTTCCGAGCACCGTTTCTCTAAGCCTCAACAGACACTAACCGGTTCACCTGTGAAGAAACTGGTCACGGTAGAATCCTCGACTTTATGGTGTGAAAAATCAGTGCGTTTCTTGCCACAAATCCAGTACAAGATTGAAATATGAGAGAAACAGGAAGGGACCGTGGCATAACTGCTGCACAGCTGACCAAATAATACGTGCACAAGAGGGGGCTTCGAAGAAACTGAGGGACAATAGAATAAAAAGATAATGAGATGTGTCCGTGAACTTCTGAAGCCCCTCATACACAGCTGGGATTGGGCTATCAAAGCTGACTCTGATTTCTATCCAAGACAGGTGAAAATTGAAATTCCAAAAATGTCTAAGTACGTGCCCATTATTTTCTTTTCCATCGAGAACTGGCCAGGAAAAAGAGGAGCTGATACCAAGAGCTATCAAGTAGAAAGAAGTTGTTTTGGAAATGTTGATGGCAACATAGATACAAGTGTGCTTATCCTACCGAATGATGGATTGTTATAAAATAATTAAAAGAGAGAGAGAGAGAGACCTGATCAGGAATTAGGCCCATGGTTTTATGGGACATCCCTGTGAATTGACCTAGTACTGGCCTTACTCCTTCTGCTCTATCTTCTTGTTCACTGCACAGTGCCCAGGGCCTGAGACGCTGGCAAGTGGCCATGCAAGGCCCAGCATGTGGTGTCAACTGGTCTGTAGCAACCAAGGCAGGAGCGTGAGGAGTGGAGGAAGATGTGTGGCTATTTGTCTGCACAGACAACTTTCTCCTTTCTAAGACCAGACCGGGAGGGTGCCTGGCCATTAGTACTGAATACTTTGATCAGAGTCTACCAAAGAATCCTGATCAAAACAGAGAAAACATAGAACATATTTTCACATTCTCATGGAATGTGACTGTGAAATTTCCTGGAACCACAGAGGATGGAAGAAACCTGAACCTTAACCCCAAAACATCCTATGAAGTCTTTAAAAACAAATCATTTTACTGGGGGCTCGTACAACTCTTATCACAATCCATCCATCCATTGTGGCAAGCACATTTATTCATTTGTCGCCATCATCATTCTCAAAACATTTTCTTCCTACTAGAGTCCTTGGTATCAGCTCATTTCCCCCTCTTCCCCCTCCCTCCCTGACCCTTGATAATTTATAAATTATTATTATTTTGTCATGTCTTACACTGTCCCATGTTTCCCTTCACCCACTTTTCGGTTGTGGGTGGAGGTTATATGTAGAACCTTGTAATTGGTTCCCCCTTTCTACCCCACCTTCCCTCCACCCTCCTGGTATCACCACTCTCACCACTGGTCTTGAGGGGTTCATCTGTCCTGGATTCCCTGTGTTTCCAGTTCCTATCTGTACCAGTGTGTATCCTCTGGTCTAGCCGGATTTGTAAGGTAGAATTGGGATCATGATAGGAAGCATTAAAGAAGTAGAGGAAAGCTGTATGTTTCATCGTTGCTACATCGCACCCTGACTGGCTGGTCTCCTCCCCACGACCCTTCTGTAAGGGGATGTCCAGTTGCCTACAGATGGGCATAACACTCCACTATTCAATCACATCAAGCAGTATTGTAAATTGCAACTACAATCAGTTTCAGAACATTTTCCTTCTTCTTGAACTCCTTGATATCAGCTCCCCTTTGTCCCTCCCTTCCTCCCTCCCTCCCCCACTGTACCTCCCAGGAACTCCTATTCTTTTTTCCTGTTGTGTGTGTGTGTGTGTGTGTGTGTGTGTGTCCCCTATCTTACATAATCCTATTTAGCCATTCACATACAATCCTGTTGTTTGATCCCCATCAAGTGGGGTTATACAGTCACCAATGCTATCAGAGCTGGCTGCTTTTTGAACTGTAAGCTGTGGGCGGCTTCTTCCTGGCTTACAGACTTGGTGCCAGGGTTCTGGGTAAGTGGAAAGCACTATCGTCGTCCAGTCTTGCCCTCTGCTTTCTGTGCCTTGAAAGACTGCCTTCATCCTTGCTGCCCCAGGCCTGGCCTGCACTCCGTGTCAGACCTGTGCCTGGATTAGTTCGGATTTTTAACAGCACAGGACAAAACCCAACGAAAAGGGGTTTAGACGAGTGTGTCTCGAGCGGTACTGTGCACCTCGTCGCCGGAGACTTAATGAGCGCATCGGTTCTAGGTCAGTGCGTCGGGAGTGCAGTCTGAAATTCTGCCCGTCTAACCAATCTCTGAGGTGAAGCTGGTACCGTGGATCTACCGACCGCTCTTAAGGCAGCAAGGCTGTAAACAATAGAAGCTCTATTACCCAGAGGTCCACGGTTCCAGAGTTGCTTCAGTAGTGCAACCCTGACCGGAAGGAGGCTGACCCTTCCTGTCTCTCTCGCTGGCCACGCTCATCACCTGGAGGCCCTGTTCTCAGGCCTCCTAAGATGACCTGTGTAGCACCAGCTACCACATCCTTACACACGACGTCCAAAGACAGGGAGGAAGGGTACTTTCTCAAATGTCAACTTTGCCACGTCAACTGCCAACAGACTGGGTCTCCGATCTCACTAACCAGACGGTGGTGAGGACAACAGGCATCTAGATTTCAGAGCGAGGCCCTCCCAGGACGCAAGGAGAGGTCTGAGAATGGCTGTTGAGAAGGGAAGGCAACGATGGCGTTTACGCCAACCGCGCTGGGCCCAGATGCAGCGCATCTGGGCTCTCCTCGCGGCAGGTACACTTCTCCTTCTCCATAGGGCCGGCACGACTCCAAAGGAGGCTTCCAAAGAAATGGTCAATGTTCCATTCATCTTGCTTAGCACACAGATAACCGCCCAATTCACTGAATAAATAATTGAGTGACCACTGCCAGTCTAATGGACTCCAGTCATACAACACAATGAAAGCACCCAGGTTCCAATCTACAAAGCAGACTGAATGATAGAACACAGGGGCTCAGACTCTTAGTCCGGCCCTTCTTAGCAAAAAGCATGGCTTTCAGAGCTAATTCACTTCAGCAGTGACCTTTCCCCCAAAACAAATGCCTATCCATGTGATAATATGTACAACTGCTCTTAGTAGCAAATTTTAGAGTTCTAGTGATGGGATAATTTATTAGTATTGGTTCACAGAAAAGGGCAAATCCAAATAATTGAATTCTGAGAGTCACATGGTGCTTTTCACAGTGGTTGATGCTGCAATTAAACTGACACACCGTTCAGGTGGCATGCCTGCTTTCACTGCCATTTCAGGGGAAGGACACCTCTGCATTTCCCACTGTCTGGTTTCTGGTCTTTGTCTACCTGTTGGGATCACCTGGAGAGCTTTAGAAAAACAGATGTCCCCCACAGAGAAGCTGTTGTCATTGGCCTGGGGTGCTGCATCTGGGTTTTAAAAAGCTCTCCAGGGGGTTGAATGCATAGCAGTCAAGTGCAAGAATGGCTGGGTTATGGTACTCACTTACTAAACCAAACTACACAAGCTATCAAACAGCTGACTGCATCTTATTCTAGGGACCAGTGGAATTTAAAGCATTATAAAAAAAACCTACAAAGTTTATTTTTGTGATCCTCATCCACATTCCATGAGACATTATTAATATCTAATTTTCCCTAGAGATAAACATTTGCTAATTCTTTTAAGAAGCAAATGAATCTTGTCAGCAAAACTAAGCAATACAAACCAAGTTTCTGAGGGGCTGTGGAAAGTCTTGTAGGACACAGACAGCTGCCCGGACATAGTCCGTTCTCTCTTGGCACCTCCCTTTATAATGAGTTCTCTCTTCAGAGACTCTTGCTGAAGAGGCAGTGAGCCTACACGCCATTGCATTTTTAACAAGGAGTCGCCTCATATGGCTTCTTCACATACTGTAATCACTTACCTTTTTAATGCACACATGTAAAAGCTAGTTATCGAAAACTAAAGGTGAAGAAAGCAAATAAAGAAAGGATACACTAGGCAGGACT